AGACCAGAAATCGGCTAAGGGATATATTGCCAATGCTTGAGAAGAATATAGCCGATTTGGTCCAAGATGCAGATTCAATGCAGAGAGTCTCCTTGGCCTTTAAGGATAATTCATCCCCGGTTCTTACCAAGGTCTTGTCATCTTTGTCTATCATCGAAGATCAATCCCCAAAGGTGAAAAAGGCTTAGAGGAACCTATCTAACCGTGAAGCTTTATTGGCCAAGAAGAACTCCAATAGGCAAGAGGCCAAAGAGCTGACACAGCTGATCGATGATTTGAAGAACTCCTCCCTCAGGATCAATCCAGAGCTGACCCAACTGGAAACCAAGCGTGCAGAACTTGAGAAGGAACTAGAGAACGTGAAAGCTGCCATCGATCGCCATAAGTCCAACCTGGCTCAAATACCCGATGCCATCAAGCAGAAGAAAGCGAGGCTAGCGACCAAGTTCAGAGAAGGCAGGGCCATCTATAATAGCCTTGAGGATATTCCTGGATCAGCCGAAGAGGACAAACAACAAATCATGGAAGTCGATGCTATCCGGCTAGAAGCATGGAAAGCAATCTAGGATGTTCTAGACTTGTAATCTGTGTATCAACATGTACCTTGTGTAGAATCAATGATAGCCATATTTTCTGCCGATCCATTGTATTTCTTGTCTTGGCTAAAGAGCTGATTTAAAAATAGCCGGTCCTAGACCTCTGACCTAAATCCAATTAAGTCTTAAAACACGGCCTTTATTAAGAAAATTCCCCAATCTTACGTCCTCGATTATCAACGCCGCATTCTCTTGGCATTAGTGAGTGGGCGCCGCCTCCTATTAATTGTGGTTGCCTTTTGCACGTCCCGAGACGTCCACCACCTCGCCTCATGGCTACAAATACCAGCCAAGTGTTCCGGCCTCGAACACATCTATACTCACAACTGCTCCTATTCCTTTGCACTTCTCCGCCTTCACAAACCCTGTAGCGGTTTTCTTCCCCCTTCTCGTAGATCCAATCCACCTTATGGCCGACGAGGACAACCGGGGCAAACGCACGGCGGAGGAGGTTTCAGAGTAGGATCTGCCGATGAGCCAGCGCCTCCACCGTATGAGGTAAGGGTTGATATCTTTTGCTCATGGCAATGGACTTCTCTAACTTGTTTATAGGTTCATCTTGAATGAGAGCCTTCGTCCGCTTCCTCCTAGGGTCGGTGAGCCCTCCAATGCCGCATCTGATGCTGCCTCCATGCCGTACTCGTCGTCGGACTCCTCCGATTCTTACAATGGTGATGACGCCCGGCGTTTCCTCCAGGAGTGGAGGGCTGCCGAGAACCATTATTCTGAGGCAACTCGGGAAAACAACAAGCTTGAGATCTGCCTCGGGGTCTCTCAAGCCGCCCTTCATGCCGCCGAGGAAGAGGCCAGTGCTGCTTGGGCACGGCTGGCCGAGTCTGACGCCATGATGGCGGGAAAGATGGACTCCAAGAACACCTTTATTTTGACTTCCATTATCTTTATCTTGATAGCTCTTTTGTTTCTATGATCGCCAGCCCTAACGGTGCAGTTGGAGTCCCTCCAACTGGTGGTGAACATGGCTACGACGATCGTCAACGCCTAGGGCCCCCTCATCAACGCCCGCCTCCATGACGTCCCGGCCCGCGTCTAGGAGATCGCCCTTCATGGCGTTCATCATGGCGTATCGGTGGCGCTGGCCGTGACGTAGGTCCAGAACGGGTACGAGCTCCATACCATGGAGACCGGTTTCCCGATGGGCGACAGCCCCGAGTAGCACGAGGACTTGATCGAGGAGTTCATCGATGCAGCGGAGGCTATCGTGGACATCACATCCGCTCATGATGTGATAAACAATGTCTTCAATTAGTTTGTATTTAGGGCAAACTGATCAATGAATAAAATCTTCCATTTTTCTATGATTGTATCTGTATACTTTCTGCAGTGTCATGATTGTTCCTGCATTTGTTTTTGCTCTATAGGCAATACATCTCGTATCGGCTTTTCCCCCTTTCTAGGGTAATTTTGAGCTAAAGGCGATAACCTTCTAGTACTGGCTGTTAGAGCCAACGACTGAACAAATTGGCTATCAATTGTTGACCCAGACGCTAGGATAATATTCCTTCAAACATTTTCCATCGATCACTTCTTGATAGGTTGCACTAGAACCTTTAGACCAAAGATTAAACAATTTACCGATCTAGGCCAGACATCTCATTAAGCAACACAATCTTTAAATTTCCTTTAATAAATCTATCAACTCTGGCTTGTACTCAGGATTCGTCTTAGCGCTCACATATGTCGGCCTAGGTATATCTCTAGGACCAATGTCTATTTCCTTTAATTCACCGGCCAACGTGAAGCCATGCCCTAGCTTACCATCTGTACCATCTATCGGGTTATCCATTAAAACAAACTCTCAGAGCCAATTGCTTGGATCGGCTGTTAACTTTCATCATTGATCTTAATGAAGCCTCATTCCCATAGCTTGCCAGAAAAACACTCGAAGTCTTCCAGTTCCCAATATACTGGATCGGCTGTTGTGATACTTATAGAATCATCAAGCATGAACCAGCTCAACATCGTCTCCATGCCCTTTGAATCAAACACTAATGCATAGTCAACGGTACACAACAATTTGCATGAATCCAATCACGACCAAGGAGTAAAATGTATGACCCTTTCCCACTAATGACGAAGAATGTGGTGAGCAAAGTTTTACTCCTGATTGTCAATTCAATGTTCATTGCCCCCTGGTCTTAGATGCATTACCCCAAAAATTCTTAAGCATCATGTCGGTCTCAATCAAATCTCCTGGTCCTTTGCCAAGTTTACAGAAAGTGGTATAAGGCATAAGATTGGTAGAAGCACTTCCATCCACCAACATTTTGCTCAACGGCTTCCCATCAACGAAACCTTTCACATATAAAGCCTTCAAGTGCCGATGCTTGGCTGGCTTATCGAATATAGCTTGATGTACAACTCCAGCTTGGCAACTATCTTCTCATACTCTGATTCATCAAAATCTGAATAAACTTCTTGGTCTGCTGGAGCTCTAAATTCTGACGGCAATAGAAAAGCCATTTGAATATTACCCGAAGGTTGACCTCTATCGGCTGTTTGTTTAGCACGCCACACTTGAGGTCTACCAGATGCCTGAGCCTGTTCAAACTATCTGTTCCTCAGGCGTTGCACCCTTCTTTTCTGGCTTCTTGTCAAACCTCCTGGACACCATTGCCCTTCCTGCCAAACATATTCTTCCTCATTATCTTCTTCTCCATGATCAGCCCAATTTTGATCAACAACTCGCTTCCCAAGCTCCTAATATTGCTCACTGCACTCTGGGCAATTATTTTTAGTAGGCAATTTCAAACCTTTATTCCAACAATGTCTGAAGAAAGGACAATTCCAATGTGATTCACCTTGCTTTCTTTTATACCTCTCTTTCCCTTGTTGACGCTGGTATTCTTTCTCTTCTAACCAACACTGATAATCCTTTTCCGTCTACCGCTGCCATTTATTCAACAAAATAAGAGATGTAACATGCGGCCTTGTCGCCCCATCCCTTGACGTCTCTCCCTGCTCATATCAGCTCTTCTATTGGTCACGATGCCTTTTAATCTCTCTATATCCATCAGCCGATATTTGCATCTTCGGGTTGATGGTTCCGGCTTCTTTGGCCCTAGTTGATGTTAGGACTTTAGTCTTCCTTTTGAGCAACCTAGCATCAACCATGTTCTGATCTCTTGGGAAAGGATTATCGTCAACTTTCATCTTTCAAGGTGTATCAAATTTGAGCCTCCCTTGCTACGCGCGGATATTTCCACGCAATTTCTCTTCCTTGGTACGTACTATAGAGCTTGCTTGGCAGCCTACTATATATATTACTGCCTCCTCTCACAGTCACCGCCCCATCCCAGCCATCATCTTCTTCCCTTACTCGTCCATGGCCAACCACTCCACATTGGAACCAAAAGCCTTGCTGTTTTCACTTAATTTGATTTGATCTCGCCCCTTACACACTGGGCTACCGCCTACCGGAAACCTCACCATTGGCCTTCTCCGCTGCCTCCACGGCCTCAGTCGAGCTGTAAAATCAGATCTCGGAATAAACCACGGCGGCAACTGTTCTGGCCACGCCAACCTCAGGTTCGTTTCTAGCATGGCCGTTTGTATTTTCTTGCATGCATGCATAGCTCTGCCTCCCATTTGTCAACAACAGGTTCTCTGCTTGTTCGTGACGAGTAGGATCAATCAAACCACCCCAGGGATAACATCTGATTTGTGATTAGTTGCGAGACATATGAAACTGCAAAGTAGCCATTGTATCAGATTACGATATGTTCATTACGGCAACGAGTGCGTTATTATTGGATTCGTTTGCCTCTGTCAAAAAAAGGAATAATGCTATATTTGTATTAGGGCCTCCCATTTTACTTCAATTATTAGAAGTGTTGTACTGCATAAGTCGCATTAAATTTATGAATAATTAGCATCTGCATCACCGGCAAAAAAGCATGCAATGCAGAGAATCAATACTTTAATAACACTACCGTCCCTGACTTTGGGTAGGAAACAATAATACACATTTTAAGAGGCTAGAAGATATGAATTGTTCCATATGCATGGTTACCGAATGTGAGGTGCAACCACTCCAGTGCTCCCTTCGTCCCAAATTAGTTCAACTTCTAGAGTTGTATTAAGTCGAACTATTTAAATTTAACTAGATTTATTGACAAGAGCACCAAAACTTATGTCACCAAATTAGTATCACTAACTACATACCTCATGGAATATATATATATATATATATATATATATTCATAATGTACGTATTTCGTGCTATAGATATTTTCACCCTCTTCTATAAACTTGGTCAAACTTATACTGTCTTAGGGTCATTCTAGGAATTGATTTATTTTTGGATGGACCGAGTTTATAGGCAATTGAACCTATAAATGATGGTTTGCTTTTGTTGCAGAAAAATAGCCATACAAGCTCACTGCCATGGTGGCTGTCCTTGCTGTTTTGGCATCCTACATCCAACACATGTTGGTGAACATGGCTAAAGAAGAGGTGCATATACTACTAGGGGTCACCTGGGAGATTGACAAGATGGGAGTCAGGCTTGGAGATCTCAAGAACTTCCTCACAGATGCTGATAGGAGGAACATCACTGATCTAAGTGTGAAGGCATGGGTGGGAGAGCTTCGGGATGCCATGTATGATGCCACAAACATCCTGGATCTGTGCCAGCTCAAGGCCATGGAGCAAGGCCGAAGCCGGGACATGGGATGCTTCAACCCATTGCTATTCTGCATGAGGACTCCCCTCCATGCCCATGATATTGGAAACCGCATCAAGAACCTTAGCAAGAGGCTAGATGACATCAAAGCACGCGACGCGTCATTCAACTTCATCAACCTTGGTTCCTATGAGGACGATGAAAGTATGAAGGCATCATTTGGTTCAAGTACACGTGAGTCATCAGGGTCCCTCGATGGATCACGTTTGGTTGGTGAGAAGATTGAGGAGGACACAAAAAATCGAGTGGCGATGCTCACAAAAGAGTATCAAACCCAACAAGAATATAACAGAATTATGGTTTTCGCCGTTGTGGGAGTTGGAGGGATTGGCAAGACCAACCTTGCCCAAAAGATCTTTAATAATGACATAATACAACAAGATTTCACAAAGAAAATATGGTTGAGTGTCAACCAAGACTTTGATGAGATTGAGCTGTTGAGGAGAGCAATCTCTGAAGCTGGGGGATACCACCATATTGCCGGAAATGCACTACTACAAAAAGCATTTTTAGGGGCGGCTAGTAACCCTTTATAGGGGCGGTTTGGCCAGCCGCCCCTACCGAACCATCTCTACAAATCATGCATTTGTAGGGGTGGTTCTCAGGCCGTCCCTACAAATATTTTCTATTTAATTTAATTATTAATTCTGTATTTTTTATATCACAAAAACACAAAGTAATATAAAAATAATTGTATATATGCACAAATATAATATTTTGTATTATTCTATGTATGCAGAAATATATATATAAAAACAATTGTAGTCAAAACAATATAGAAAACAAAAATTAAAATTTTGAATTTTAAAACTTTGACTACAATTTTATGACATTAAATGAAATAAAATAAAAATGTTGTAAACATAAAAGTTGTATAACTCATCAACATGTACAACTTTTATTTTGGTCATCTTGTCATGTGACTTTGTTTGATTTGAGATTCAAACAATTTCAACTTGAAACAATATTTTGAAAGAGTAAATGATTTCAGATGAAAAACTCATGAATACCAAAGTTGTAGAACACATCAATATGTACAACTTTTATTTTGATCATATTTTCATTTGACCAAATTTGAACAGTTGAAATTTTGAATTTCAATAAATGGCAACTTCAAACAAGATTTTGAAACCTTAAATGATTTCAACAATAAAAGTCATGAACATAAAAGTTGTTGAACTCATCACTATCTACAACTTTTATTTTGGTCACTTCTTCATGTGACAAAGTATTAGTAAACATTGTTCATAAATTCACATATGACTCATAATTTCATGAAGTATACGAGACACATATTGATTTGTGAACAATGTTTACTATCACTTTGTTAGATGAAGAAATGATCAAAATAAAAGTTGTAGATCTTAATGAGTTATACAACTTTGTTATTCAGCATTTTTTCAGCTGAAATCATTTAATGGTTGAAAATCTCGTTCGAACTTGTCATTTTTTTAAATTTGAAAATTTGAAGTGCTCAAACTTTGTCAAATGAAAATAATGACAAAATCAACACACTAACTTGATAGGGCAAGATTTTAGAAAATTTTAGGAAAAAAATCATCACATTTGGAGTTAGTATGAGAGAGAAAGACAAGTTACAAAGTTTACCCAGAGATTAAAAAGAAAAATCACAACGGTTCAGGATGATCAATGATGAACAAGTGTGATTTCTCTTTTTAATCTGTGGCTGAAACTTGTAACTAAATATATAGTCTTACACGCATGCATAAATGAAGTCTTACAAACACACACTTACACAAACACTCCACGTTCAACAACTAGCTAGCCCGCTGTAACGACTTTCCCCTTGACACCTTTTCGTTCCCATGGCAATATGTCTTTGGGGAGGTTCTTTTCCACAACACTGATCTTCTTAGGAAAGTCTGTGAATAGCGGCATCTCATCGTAGTTATTGTAAGCTTCAACATCGTCCACGCCATCAACTCCAATAATATGCTGTTTTCCGGAGGCAACCACGTGCTTTGTCTTCTTCTTTGGGGGGAGGTTACTTTGTGGGTCAGACATATAGAAAACTTGTGCGACACGTGAAGCGAGCACCCAAGGGTCATCTTGGTAGCCTAGATTCTCGAGGTCCAAGACTCTCAATCCGATCTTGTTCAGTTCGTGTTGTTTGATCCAGCGGCATCGAAATAGGGCCACCGTTATATCCCTTCCATAGTCAAGTTCCCATATCTCTTCAATGATACCAAAGTATTGGATCTTTCGCCCCAATCCATCGAGAGCCTCTATTCGAACGCCGCTGCTTTGGTTCACATATTTACTATCCTTTGTGTGGGTATAGTACGTATACCCATTGATGTCATAAGCATTCCAAGATGTCACTTGTCTCGATGGCCCCTTCGCCAACCTACTGATGGTAATAGAGTCTATGGTTTCTCCAGGCGGTATGTTTTGGTCCTTCAACCATGTAGTTAGTCGTTGCTTGTGTTGTTTCATGACCCAATCATCCGAACGGCCATTTTTCTCCGCCATAATGATAGCCAAGTGTTCATCAATGTACGGTTGCATCAGTTGTGTACTCTGCAAGACACTGTAATGCGCCCGACTCACCTCTTTGTAATCATGGTCGATGAACACTTTTCTACCACTGGTGCCCTTCCCAGCCAGCCTACCCTTGTGACGAGAATCGGGTTTACCAATCCCTTTCTATACTTTTAGGTACTCTTGATAGCACTCGATGACTTCTTCAGTACTATAACCCTCTATCATGGAGCCCTCTGGGTATGCTTAATTATGCACGTATCGACTTAGAACTGACATGAACCGCTCGTAGGACCACATTTCATGCAAGTAGCAAGGGCCCAACGCCTGTATCTGATGAACCATGTGAATCATGAGATGTGGCATTATATAAAAAAAGCAGTAGGTAAACACATCTCCAGTTGGTTTTGTGTCTCCACCACACATTCATGTAGGTCACTCAGCTCTTGCTTGCCAATCATCTTCTGTGAGATCTTCGAAAAGAAGTAGCACATGCGGGTGATGGCCATTTTCAAGAACTCTGGCTTTATAGCCCCGATTGCAATAGGTAGAAACACTGTCAGCATCACATGGCAATCGTGAGCCTTGCAGTGTGTTATGGACAAGTCCTTCATCGACACTAGCTTCTTCACATTTTCTGAAAACCTAGTCGGGACTTTGATCCCCCTCAGGAAAGTGCATACAGCTCTCTTCTCGTCTGGTGTTAGGTTGAAGCACGCCGTGGGCAGAGTGTATTTTCCATTAGCCTCAGTTATAGGGTGAAGTTGTGGCATCACGTTTAGCTGCACCATGTCTTTCCGTGCTTTCAGACCATCCTTTGACTTGCTTGTGTCCATCAAGGTAGCAATGAGACTCACAAAGACATTCTTCTGCATGTGGATAGCATCAATGGCATGGGGGACGTCCAAGTCTGGCCAATAAGGCAGATACTGAAAGAAGATCGATTGTTTCTTGAAAGGTACGCCTTCGACAGGAGGTGTGCTTCTATCCCTATTCGTCCCATCCAGATTCTTCTTTCCATAGACGACGCGTATGTTTTTCACCATTCTGTACACGTGTTCTCCGTTATGATGTCTCTCTGGAGGGGGTTCAATCTCCGGGGCGTTGTCATAAAATCTAAAGAACAATTTGCTACGGTACTTGTGACTTGTCTTTAAGAAGTGTCGGTTCCTTAGGTAAACTATCTTCTTGGATGCATCTAGGTACACCCATGTAGTACCATCCAAGCAAACCAAGCATCCCGTCTTTCCTTTGATCTGTCCAGACAAAGCAAATAGCGCGGGGTAATCATTGGTAGTAACAAATATTATTGCTCTACATATGAAGTCCTCCTTTCGGAATGCATCGTACATCTGCTCCCCATGCCTCCATAGCCTCGCCATTTCTTGCATCAAAGGCTCGAGGAACACGTCTATATCAATGCCTGGTTGTTTAGGGCCAGAAATAAGAATAGTGAGGAGAAGGTACTTTCTCTTCTGACACAACCATGTTGGGATGTTGTACATGGTCAAGATCACTGGCCATGTGCTATGGTTGCTCATTCTCTCATTGAAGGGATTCATTCCATCGGTGCTCAAGCCAAACCGTACATTCCTTGGGTCATCGCTGAATTCTTTGTGCTTCTCATCAAACCTTTGCCACTGACTACAATCAGCCGGGTGTGCAATCTTATCATCATCCACCTTGCGCTCATCATCCCACCATGTCATGAGTGCAGCTTCTTTAGGGTTTAGGAAGATACGTCTCAAGCAGTCGGTCACTAGCAAGTACCACATTACTAAGGCAGGAATTCTTCTCTGCTTTGCTTCGTTGCCTAATGGAGTGTCCTCTGGGGGCTGAGATTCTTGTACCACCTTTTTTGTACCCTTCTTATTCCTCTTTTTCCCCGTGGAGGCTTTGTCCCCACAGTAAAAGTCATTGTTCTTGTACCGGCTGGCCCCACACCGGGGACATTTATCCATTGACTTGAACGTTTCGCCACAAAAAAGTATATAGTGGTTGGGGCATGCATCGATTTTTTTCAACCCCCGTTGTCGATGGACTTATGACCTTCTTCGCTTTGTATGTGTTGGCGGGATTTGAGTTTGGTTGTGGCAGCACCCATGATAGGAGATGCAATAGATCACTGAAACTACAGTCTGACCAGCCGTACTTAGCCTTCTGGATGAGCAGCTCAAGCACAAAATGTAGCAATGTCCAATGTGTCGGACAGCCCTTTTCAACACCATACACAGTCTCCTTCGATGCTTTTGTCACCCTTTCTAAATTTTCTAGACCTTTCGGGCTATTTAGTAAAATCTCTGGTCTAAGGGCTCGAATCATGTCCTCCAAATCATCTTCATCCCCGACACGTGCTCCACCATCATTATTGGCACCACCTTCGTCGGTACCATCCCAACCACCAGCATCACCACCTTGTTCATTGCCAAACTCAAAATCCATTCGTGCATCAAGCTCTGTTGAATATTGGGACAGTGATTCTATGGTTTCGTCGTCGTATTCCTCCTCATCCTCGTCATTAACAATAACCGTTTCACCATGATGAATCCACACTGTGTAGTCCTCAACAAATCCTCGCATAATCATATGTGATCTGATGATAGTCACATATGTCCATGCCATACGGTTCTTGCAATCTTTACAGGGGCAAATAATTGTATCCTTATTCTCTTTCAATGTCGTTGCATGCTTCTTTGCGGCTTCAATAAATTTATCCACCTCTTCACAGAAACCTGCCTTGAACCTTAACGAACCATACATCCAAGAGTTCCTGTACTCCATCTTTTACAACAACGACAAAATAAACATTAAAGGACTACTTATTCAGATATATATAAAAATGAATCAAATTAATAATTACTTGAGAATAATTGTATATACTTCAGATATATATGAATATAAATCTAATATAATTACATGAAGCATACAAACACACCATGGTAGAGGAATATTAATTAATGGCCCATTTATCCATAAATAATTAAAATACATATTTATTGATTACAATAAACAATTTCAAAGACAACAATTAGCAACAATTATACTTTACCCAATATCTTTCATACAAACCCTAGTCCAATTTCATCAAAAATAAATTTACAAAAACGAAATTAATAAAAAAACCAAACCCTAAATCTAGATCCACATGTACATGAAACATCCACAAAACTAACTAATTGTTCACTAAATCAAGAAACATGGACCAAATAAGGGTATGATCTTGTTCCCCTCCCCAGTTTACCCTAGTACATTTAAAACTTGGGTCTAATTTGCTTCATAAGTAGCTCAAGCACCATAGAAGAGAGAGAAAAACAAAACTCTAATTACTCACTAATCAACCATTAAAACTTCAAAAAAAGTGTGGAATAGCATTTTCTTACCTTCTACAATCTCTCCACCAAAGGATTTGAGACCAAAACCTTCTCCCCTTAGTAGAGCAATTTTTGGGAGGTGCCCAAGGCCTCCCCACCTTTGTTTCACGGGTTGAAGTAAGTGACCCGAGGAGGAATAAGGTGCTACTGCTGTTTTATATGTAGGTCATTTGTAGGGGCGGCTGGTGATTGAGCCGCCCCTACAAATCAGAGCTATATATACGGGGACATTTGTAGGGGCGGCTCAATCACCAGCCGCTCCTACAAATAGCAACTCTAGGGGCGGCTGGTGATTGAGCCGCCCCTACAAATCAGACCCCATTTGTAGGGGCGGCTCGTAACACCAGCCACCCCTGCTGTTCCATTTGTAGGGACGGCTGGTGCCTGGGCACCCGAGCATGCCACTGTAGGGGCGACTCCATCACCAGCCGCCCCTGTAAAAAATTCGAACCGTTGCTAAAAATCGTTTTTTACTAGTGAATGCAAAGGCACTGCAAGAGCCAGCTCTAATGGAAGCCTTAAAGGGACATAGGACCTTATTGATAATGGATGATGTCTGGGACTATTGTGCATGGGAGGGTGTGCTTAGAACGCCCTTGCTCAATGCTGCCCTAGCTCATGGTAGCCGTGTCCTCATCACCACTAGGCATGACACTGTCGCACGAGGAATGATGGCAGAGGAACCCTACCACCATATCAATAAACTTGACACTGGGGATGCATGGTTGCTTCTCAAGAAACAGGTCCATACAAGCTCACCCATTCTTTGAAAATTTCCTTTGGTTTTCATTCAGACGTCGTGCTTGTTAGCTGCATCACATTATATTTGGTGCACTCTTAAAAGTAAGGGCTCGATCTGCTACCACTGGCAGTATTCTTTTTATGTTGCAAAAATCTAATATATTTAGTATATATTGCGATATTACAAATATAAAGCGTCAGTTGCCTGATAGTTTCATATTTTAGGGACCCCACCAGTTATTCACAGTTTCATCAAGACATTCAAACAAGAACCTGTACAACAAGTCTACATCATTTTTTTTGTGGGAAAAGTGCACGGAATTTTCATGGTTTTGTAATGGAAATTTTGAGTGCCATTGCGTAACACTGACAATGAAGGCAATAAGAAATGGTAAATTCCCTAGAAAATTCAGTTTACAGATTTAGGAAACAATAATAAGTTCATTTTATGGTTTTTTATGAGGTATAATTAAAAAAACCTTACCTTTTTCTTAGTATGGACATCTTGCGCTCAAAAAGATCAGTGGAGAGCTTACAAACCTTCGTTGTGTTCAAGTAAAAAGTAGCATAGCAGCATAATAGAAAGTTCAAAAATTATATGACATTTTTTTGGTGCCATGCCTGCTAATCGCACGTACTACAAATATACTATAAAACAGAGTAGTACCCTTGAGCCACATCCTAGCTAACTGATCTGAAAAACTGTTGCGAGCGGTGCTTGTGTTATGATAGGATACACTTTTTTTATCATACATGGATTTCGGTAGTACGAGTGATATCGATAATGCATTGTGGATGGACTTCACTATAGTAGTGTGAACAATTGATTTTCAGTTGGGAACCACCTCTTGGTGTGGTGATGGATGTGTGATGATAAGATTCCACAAACCAAGTTCAAATAGGGACTTGGGTATGCCAGTGTAGGGGCTTGAAAAGAATCCATAAAGGAAAAGGAAACTAGAAAAGAAAAGAAAAATAAAAAGGGACCTTAACGGGACTAAAGGTGCACGCCCCTGGGAGCGGCCTGGAGGCCCTTTTAGTCCTGGTGTCCCGATTGATGTTGCCAACCGGAACTAAAGGTCCCTTTCAGTCCGGGCTGCCTATGTTAGGAGTAAAGGGTGGGAAACCGAGACTAAAGGGGTATCCTAACCAGAACTATAGGCCCTTTGTGTACTAGTAAACAGTATGTGCATGCATGGGTAAAAATTACCGTGGAATTGGGAAAAATGATTCTTTTACCAAATTAGTTCCCAAAGTTTATAGTTATGTTACTCTAAAATAACTGTGGACCACTGATTTAATTATATTTGAATTAAGAGTAAAGTGCACCAGCGGTCCCTAAACTTGTACCGCTGTGTCATCCCGGTCCCTAAACTCGCAAATCGACCGTTTAGGTCCTCAAACTTGTTCATCTGTATCATCTTGGTCCCTAAACTTATTCAGTTGTGTCATCCCGGTCCCTAAACATGCAAATCACCCGTTTAGGTCCTCAAACTTGTTCAGTTATGTCATTCCGGTCCCTAAACTTGGTTTTGAGTCTCATCTGGGTCAAAATAGGGTGATCTAAAAACTTTATATCAAAAAATAATTCGTAATATTTTCATATGAACTCAAATGAAGACAAACTTTATATCAAAATTGTAGCCCTTGACGCGATCTACGACTTTGTAGTTGAAAAGTTTTTGAATTAAAACTATTTATGGTCTCAAAATATTATTGTATGTTTATAGATTTTGAAATTTAAAATTTAAAATTATATTTTGGGACACTAAATGACTTCAAACAAAAAAAATTTCAACTACAAAGTTGTAGATCGTATTGAGAACTATAACTTTCATATAGACCATATCAATATCCAAGATTATTTGATAATTTTAAACTCAAATTTCAAAATTTAATATTCAAGATTTTGAAATTTTGAATTTAAAATTATGCGGCCACGCGACACTCCATGACTCCAAGCAGGTCGTCCGGCGTCTCATTAAATTTCGCCCGCCAACAAGCATGACACTCGCATATGCCATACGTCACCAGCGCGATGACAGCGCGCCAGCCGATCGATGAGTTGATTATGTATTTAGTTTACCATCGACGACTTTAGCTTCTTGTCCTTCATTATATACTGCATGGCATGAAAAGAGATGAACTTCCATGGAAGAACCTTTTTTTGTTTATTATCGCCCTCGGAGGCACGCAGGGCACAGGTAGATTAAACTAGGGAGGGCACAGTAGTTGAAGCTCTGACACCGTCTTTTCAATTCGCACTGCCAGATGATCCAATTGGTAAAGGCATCCAGGCACGCCAGACTTGCAGAACCCAACGATCTCTGTGTCTGGATGATCCTCTCTGATAACCGAGCACAAATAACTGGTACCTAGCCTTTTTGGTAGGTTTTGTTTCTGAACTGACATTATTTTGGCAAACTCAACCTAAAAATATAAGATGGTTTTTAACTAGTATTTGATAAGTTATATACACACTACACAAAGTAATTATATTCAAGGTTTCTTCAAGATAGATTTTGGTCTAATCATTTATCTTCTCTCTGATAGAAACGCGGTATGCTACTCGCTAGCACACAAAGAATTAACCGCGTAAACAGGATCACTTGCGAGTAGATGATCATAGATTATACCTTCGCTCGTCGCGCGTCGCAGCAGAAGTCTTGATGAAGCGCGAGTAGTCAATCCGATCAACGTTGAGGAAGTAATCGTACGATCTAACGAAGTGCACAAACTAGCGACACCTCTACGGTAGTCCACACGTACGGGATGGGACGATGAACCGGAGCGTGCTAGCACTCCACGGCACGTACTCGAAGATCCTCACGATCAACCTTTGATCGGGGGGAAGACTGCAGGTGCGGCGGCGGCAGTAACCTTGGCTGGTGGCTGCACTGGCAGGAGCCCTACGGCAGCAGGAATCATCACCTAGGGTTAAAAGCTGATTAGCATTTATAGACTTGCTAATTGGGCCAGCGCTAATTGGGCCAGGCCCCTCTTGGGCATAACCAGCAGTCTCCCACTTGCACAAGAGTTAATTATGCAAGTATCCATGTGTTCCAATCCCTTAAGTGTGTGACCCCGTAGGTTCATGCAACCTACGGACATGATTCAAAAACCATTTCCGATCAATAGTTAGCATTGGCCTCTAGCAAGGCGTCTTGACTCGAAAGGTTCACGAAGATCATATCTTGCATAACCTATAACACCTGCCAATAATATATCATACGCCACACGACACCTAGCCAAGTGTAAAGGCGAATGAAGTGCTACCCTTATTCTTAGCCATTTCTCGCTCGGTGAAGAACTTTTTCGATTGACTAACCTTTAGTCGAGGCATGGCCATGCGCTTTTAGTTCATCACATCGAGAGGGCCCAGAGGAGTCTCTCCCCAAGCAGAGGGGTAGATTCCTTCTTGACTCGGTACACCCCCTGCGACTTGCTTCAACCACATCTAAAAGCTGCTTTTATAACTACCCAGATCACGGAATAGCGTTTAGCAACCCCAAAATGTGATGCTCCACAATCCGGGACTCTGTCACCGATCTACGGTCTAAGGACGTAATATGCATGTCGTTACGAGATTCACCGATAGCAAAGTGTATTCGCGGTGTCTCGTTGTGGGTCTATCTCGGCACCATGTTCCTAACACGTGCCTACATTGTTGGCTCAATATCCCATATTGCCATGACCTATGAAACAAGATCATCCACCCAACACATGTACCGGCTTATCTCTACGTCCACAGTCCCCGCATGACGGATGGAAGTCTGGGGACCATTTTAGTACAATGTCAATGTTGTATCATGGAGTTTCGCTAACGAATCACGCATTCGCTAATCACATATAATGACAAAGTCATGGAACATATCACTGAAAAATGCAGATTACAAACATTGACATGATGTCATCATCTTATGACTACCTTTATGGAATACATCATCATAAGCCTCCCACTAGTGCTAGTCGGTTATGCCAAGCATCTCATGCCCATTGACTTCGTATGCATCTCATGCTTTGCTTGTGGGAGTGGATTAGTCAACAGATTTGCAATGTTCAGGTCGGTGTGCACCTTGCATATCTTCACATCTCCTCGATCGATGATTTCTCGAATCGGGTGATATTGCCGTAGTATGTGTTTGGACTTCTAGTGGAACCTAGGCTCCTTTGCGTGCGATAGAACCACTATTGTCACAATAGAGGTCTATCGGATCTGGAGCAACTAGGGACCACGCCCAACTTAGAAATAAATTTTCGATCCATACTGACTTCCTTTTGCGACTCCGGCTGCAATATACTAAACTTCTGTTGTCGAATCTGCAAGCTGTCTCTTGCTTGGAACTTTTCTAGCTCTTTGCACCACCATTGAGGCGTAAGACATATCCCGATTGAGATTTGCTATCGTCCTGGTGGGTTTAGAAGCTAGCATCGGTGTAACCCTTTACAACGAGCTCCTCCGAACCTCCATAGACTAGGAACATATCCTTAGTTCTTCGGAAGTACTTTTAGGATATTTTTACTAAAACCCAAAGTGACCATCACTTGGGTTGGATTGGTACCTGCTCATAACACTTAGAGCATACTGAAATGTCCGGGCACGTGCACAACATGGCATACATGATCGAGCCAACAGCCGAAGCGTATGGCACCCGACTCATCCTTTCTTGTGCATCAGGCGACGACGCACACTGAGTCTTGCTCAAGGTTACACCATGTGACATAGGTATGAATCCTTTCTTGGAATCATTGATGTTGAACCTATTCAACATCTTGTCGAGGTACATGCTCTGGCTTAATCCAATTAAGCGTTTAGACCTATATCTATAGATCTTTATGCCCAGTATGTAGGCTGCTTCTCCAAGGTCCTTCATAGAGAAACTCTTTCTCAATGAGGCCTTGACATCCTCCATAAGCGGAATATCATTCCGAATCAATAGTATGTCATCCACATACAAGATTAGAAATACGAGTGCGCTCCCACTAGCCTTCTTGTAAACACATGCCTCTTCTTTATTCTGTGAGAAGCCAAACGATTTGACTACCTCGTCAAAACAAAGATTCTAGCTCCGGGATGCTTGTTTTAGACCGTATATAGACTTCCTAAGTCTACACACTTTTCTAGCATTTTGCTGGTCGACAAAACCTTCAGGCTATGTCATGTACACATCCTCACTTAGGTTTCCATTAAGGAAAGTTGTTTTGACGTCCATTTGCCAAATCTCATAGTCATAATATGCGGCAATTGCTAGAAGTTTCCGAATAGACTTCAGCATTGCGACGGGCGAAAATGTCTCATCATAGTCAACACCTTGAATTTGACGAAAACCTTTCGCTA